TTTTCGAGAGATCTTTGCTCATGTAATTCAGTAAGACAATTCGCTACGATGCCACTGCTACACTTGAATGAAAGCTTACTTATTGCAGCTCATTTATCGAGAGACTATTGCTCATGTAATCTAGTGAGATATTTTGCTACGATGTCAGTGCCACACTTGAATCGAAGCCTAATTATTACAGATCATTTTTCGAGACACCTTTGCTGATGTAGTCAAGTGATACAAGTCGCGGTGACGTGAGTAACATACTTGAATTGAGCGTTAATCATGATAATTCATTTATTGAGAGGTCTCTGCTAATGCAAGAGAAACTTAAAGTTCGCTATGAAATGAACGATGAGCCAGAACGAACTCGGTTCAAAAAAGTTCATTGGTGAAGCGATCTTCAGCAGAACGATTGAATCATTTAATTCGTATAAAAGTAAATGGCTTTGCTGAATAGAAGGTTACTTAGAACGATTGATCGATCCAGTGATCTTGTGTAGTCATGTGAGCTTGCGTTATTCGTGTCGAAGAAGCGAAGTAATTGAAGAAAACAGTTGTTGATTCTAATAAATTACCTCGTGCTTTTGCATTATTTCGCCTGATTTCAGAATCTTAGTGGACGTGAATACAATAGTTGAAGAAATTCCTAGTTAGAATGATTCGTATTCGATGCAAATTCTGAATGATAGACTATACTGAAGCCCTATTTTGGAGTGAATGAAATACTTGAATCATGTTCTATTCGAAATTGTATGCTGGCGTTGTGATACTGGATCATCTAGAACTCCAAGATGTTTCCAACATTGTAGAAAAATAGTTGAATGCATTCATACTTAGTATGATTCACTAACCACTCAATTGCTAATCATGTGAATTAGCATCACGTTCATTTCAACGCAAATGGTGCATTTGATCAATAGCTTACAGGCAGCTCTGGTACAATTATTTGATTTCTTTGTATTTCTCGATACACCTTCATATACTGACATTCAAGAACAAGTCAGTGAACTATTTGAATTCAATCACTGTTTCACTCATACATTATCTCCAACATCATGTTTTATGTAAACCAACCTAATTCTTGGTGTCACAACGAGATTGATCAGAACAGAATTTTTTTTCAAACAATTCATCAGTCGCACAATGTTCACTCATAACTTTCACTGTCACTGACTGCTTGATAGTAACATAAACGAACATGACGTTGGTAAGGATGATTCGTATTATATGCACTGTTAAATCTTATGTTCTCATGACATCGACTGCTATAGAGTAGAATAATTGAATATGATCTTACTAAAGATAATTCGTATGCCATGAGCTGTACAATCTTGTGTTCTCGTGAGATCAATTGCTAAAGAGTAAAATTATTGAATATGATCCTGGTGAGAATTTTTCGTATACTGCGCGCCACTTGATTACGACTTCTGATGTTAGTGATATCTTCAGAATGAAATAATTGGATTCTATCTTCGTTACAATAATTCACATACCATATACTGTTCAACCTTGTATTATACTGTCATGAATTGCTAGAGAGTAAAATAATTGAACATGACTTTTCTTTAAATGATTCTCTTTTGATGCACTCCTCTAACCTGACTTGTGTAGTTTATTTTCAACTTAGAATTGCGTAAAAATGAATAGATCTATTGTTATCACTATTTATTTATTGTGTAGACCTTCATCACGGTATGTACCAAATATATTTTGATTTAGTGAGAATTATACATATGAACAGAAGGATTCTGGTTGGAACAATTCGTTTGTACAGTGATATCCAGCAGCATAATTGTGACCCGTACTTCACTTTGCGGTGTTTGATATATTTGAACACAGCTATTATTCTGGTAAGAATTATTCATCGGCGTTATGATCTAGTGCTGTGTGGTGAACTTTCACATTACATTCTCAGTGATTTATATAGTTGAAAAATCCTTAGTTGAAACTAGTCAATCATTATGTATTCATTATTCGACAGGCAAATGATGTGTTAGACGTTGTTCCAAGCAACACTTTTGAATGCATATGTTATCAAAAATGTTTGTCTAGTATGTGAGCTGTTCTATTTAATTAGCATACAATCGTTGCTTCTATATAACTGATATACTTGAATAGAGTTATACTGAGGTCTATTCAGTTTCACGATGGAGTTTTTTGTTTATAGTAACGACAGAAGTTTTATCTCACAGTTAATGATATATATGAGAGGGCAGATTGTTGTGGTTGTTTATTTACCTAGTAACTGGTAATTAGATAACAAACTTTATATTTAGTTTGAAGTATTTACTATGCATTGAACAGAATACTTGTTAGGAGCATTCAGAATGTGAACAATTTTCAATTACATGACGCTTGCTACGCATTACTTCAAAATAAGCATCAAATTTGAACATAGATGTTGCTATGGTTATTCGTGCGATATGCGATCAATGATATGATGTTATGCTAATGATTGATCATCGAGTTAACAACTAACATGAACTAATTCTAATTAGACGCCATACTATTAAACACTATACGAAACATCGGTCAGGTACCCTCGAACATTACCTACTCTCGTTTGACTTTTTCATATACCATTACCAAAATCCTGATTTTCACAGACTTTTGATATTATATAAATGTAGTCTAATCTTGAAGAGTCTTTGTGTCAGTTGTACTTATGATAAGGTTTTTTTCAGTTTTTGAAAATTTTATCTAACATAAGCTCTAATTAAATTTAGATTATTTTCATTTAATGTAAAATTTTTACAAGATGAAGTTTTTTGTTTGGAAAATTGAACTTGCATGCAACTCATAATCTATTATAAATTTTTTTTATTAGTTAGTCTCCTGATTCGTAATTGCTTCGTTTGGTTTTTTCTCTCTTTGTTTTTTGCTATACTAAATATCGTGTCTTGTCTCTTTTAAAACTTATCTTCACATTACATCGTTATTTTTTTGTGCTTCAATATTTTCAATAAACATTCCATATGAAAATATGACAAACATATGCAAATCTATCGAGGAGATTGTTTTTCATGCTATATAAGAGGTGGAAAGCTGCAAACGTTTGACCACATGCGTCTTATTAATATCATCAAGAGGGGTTTCACTCTAATTTATACTTACGAAAAGAAAATTTTATGTATTATTTTATCTAATAGTGAATAAACAGAAGCTACAAAAAATGATCTTATATTTTCTTCTGTTTTTCATATGTCCTAGCTGAAAAAATAAATAATTCTAAGCATCCCATCAAAAGATTCAGCACTTGATTTACGTAGGATATCTTACGAGGGAGCTTCTCAAGCTCCTAAAAAGCTTTTCAACTGAAAATGTGACGGTTAGATAGGGCATAGCTAGGAGTAACATAACCTATGTTGGCTTCGGCTATTGTTTCTGAACCTTGGTCTCCTCGAACGAGAAAAGATTTATTAGGTTTAAATTATTATTGTGTCTATCCTAAGCAGCGATCTTGGTTATTTGAAAGTTTCAGTTCAAAAGGATAAGGTTGTAAGGAGAAAAAAATAATTCAAAACTTTTTTCTTAACTTTATAGCTTTTCATGTAGTGTTACTTGATGAGGAAAGATTCGTTTGAACAGATTTTCAGACTATTATTGAGTTAATACACTATTTATCGTAAAAATAAAAGATTGTTCCTTTTTATAACCATCAATCTGAAAATAAACTTTTGTATATAGGCGCTTATCGCTTTGTTCTTGCATATGCACGTGAGTGCTAAAGACCAAGAACCAAATAAAATGGAAAAAATCAGAAAAAGGCAGCATTTGCTTGGATAAGTTAGATATCAGAAGTATGATAATTAACAAAGAAGTCTTGAAAACATAATATCCCGTTGTAATAACTTCATTGAATGAACGCGAATTAATCGCATGAAGGTGTATCGCAGTGATCTTGTTTAAATTGGAAACATACTTTCGTAACTATTTGAAATGGTCGAAAGTCAACATTAATAGAGCCACTAGTTAATCATGTGCAGTGTATCATAGGCGTGAAGGCCGAAGATGACAGTTGATTATGAATCAGAGATTGTAAATGGATGATACTATTTCTTTGTGCAAAGTGAATATCTAGTTCATCAAGAAGAACCCTTTCGTAAACCTTACACATAATTACTTTCCACTACCTGTTGAAAAACACGTTTAGAGTCTTAATTTTGGATGTCGTTTTTCAAGGAATCTCCAATTTGAAGAGAAGATCCATGCTCACATCCCTTATGTAAGAGAGTAATACATTATAGTTTGAAATAAAACATGATAAGTAAAACTTTTTTTGAAAACAAAGAACTATGACGTGGTTTTGTCTAATCAAAAAAAGTATATAAATACCTAAGTAGCACTATGAGTTCTTTAACGATGATGAGCATTTTTACTAAGTAGAAAGTAAATTAAATGAATTATATACATGCATAGTCATAACGATTTAAGTTTTGTTTAAAATACAAGGCTGACGAACACTTTCTTAATATCAATTATCTGTCTTCGATACAACGAAAACTTCGCAAGATGGCAACAACATTCGATCTAATTAATGTGGCAGCTGTAACTCGTTTTCAATATTTCATGACCATCAATCTCGCTTTTATTATCTCGAAAAAAAGAACACAGAAGTCTCGCTTCAAAATTATCATTCTACAGAGCCAATTGAGAACGAACAAAACTTCACAGCGAAGTTTGAAAAAAACAAGAACACTAATCATATAGGAATATAACGCTTTTTAATAACATTTGAGCGAAAATTGCACGATTTTCTGATCCATAGATTATTGTAACACAAAGTAGTGATTCAATTTATGTGTCGAGAAAATAAAAATATTCTCAAACGATTACTGTACAGTAGTTAGCACTGTAATTATAATAGATTATTAAGCTCTAAAGATGCTTTTTATTTTCCAACAAACCAATTTTACTATCATTCAATTACATTAAGTGATAGTCATAGATTCATTTGGCGCTAAGCTAGATTCAGTTGTCCTGCATGAATAATCTAGTAAACGACTAAACTAATCATGAATCAACATAACACTACATCACTTTCTGTAACAAACAATAGTCATGAAATAAATCGAATTAAAGATCATCGAATTATCTCCGAAGCATTTCTTCTTAAAGTATCAGAATGTATTAAGATTGCCAATACTATTCGTACTGATGTAAGATCTCGTATTGTATACATCATAATAAATAAAACTCAAATTATACTCATATTTATTTGCAGTATGGAATAGATATTTTAGAAACCAATGGTAGTTTTGAAATAACAGATAAAGTTATTAATCATCTTGATTCTTTGTTATCGACATATTACCAAAATGTTAATCAAAATAATAATAATAATAATAATAATATGGATAGTACTCTAAATTTATCTGAACAAAACGATGAATTTCAAAAATTGAATTTATTTTATAACTATTCTAGTTCCGTAACATTATTAAATAATGATAATCAAATCATAAAAACAGAACAATTTGCGTCAGATATTCATTGTATACCAATTAAATTACCAGCAATAATTGAAATGCAACTTAGAAATAATCAACTTCTCAGAAATACTATTCACAATTATAGACGTCATGAACGATATTTAAATTTATCTAAGAAGAAAAAAATATCTGCAATAAAAACGGCAGATGAAGAAGATATTCTTATGATTGAAGCTAAACCATTATGTCTTATAGAATTAAATGATACATTTGATTCATCATCAATTATTCTTTCAAAAACTAAAGAAAGTCTTACAAAATTAATGAACCAAATTCATAATCAATATAAAAATAAAAGTCATAAAGTATGTGTATCAAAATCCTCAACATACTAGGCTAGTTTGTTTATGAATAAAGACAACGATATTTTGTTGAATAAAGGGACAATTTAGTTGCTATTAACTATTTGCAGATAAAATTCCTGTAGATTACATAAACAAATGACATGTGTTTAAACTGATAAAAAGGACTAGATAACATTTTTCGAAAAATAATTTTGTATTGATGAATTGGATCATTATATTGATAGATCTGATGTGATTTACTCACGAATAGATTTTTATTATCATTATTTTAAATAGAAATCAAATAACTTAATTGCTAATATTGAACCTGCACTTAAATTTATAATCAATGAAGAAATTACATATGAATATTTGCAAAATGAAATAAAAATAAATAATCAACAAAATCAATCAAAACAATTAAGAAAAAAAAAGAAAAACCAAAACCAAACAATGCAAATATTACCATATGAAAATACATATGGACAATTCTATTATACTGATCAATTTATACCAATCGAACAGACAATGATTGATAAAATTGTTTATGGTGTACAAGCTATGGCAGCAGCATTGACTAATACAGTAAATAAAAATAAATAAATTTCAATTTATTTTCATGTTTAAAAAAAAGACGAGAACACAATACAAATAATTTATAATTTAGAAAGATATTGAAGATGTATTAAATGGTATTGTCATGTTAGCTGATCAATCAACTTCTCCATTTTCCGATCAAACAGATAATAAAATAGCCGATGAATTAATGAGTACAATACAAAGTAAGATGATTACATATATGAAAATCTTTAAAAACATTTTTTTTTTTCAGAACGCTTTTTAACACAAAAACAAGGTTATACAACCAATCGTGAACGAGTACGTGTTCGTATGGCATTAAACTTAATTTTAGCTGATAATCGATTAAATGGTAAAACAATCATGTCTCGATCAGAATCGATTATTTTATCTCGTATGATTCGAAAAATCTATCTATGTTCACAAGTACGAACTTTATGTTCATATGGTGATGTTATTACGATAATTAATGATTCTGATTATCATCAAATACGTTTTCGTACATATAAACGAATGTCTTTATCATCAGATGAATTTATTGAAATTCTTGGTGAAATGTATTCTACATTTTATGATACAATTGAAACCATGAAATATTATTTAGATGCAGATGATATTATTGATCTTGATACAAATCTTATTCACTCATCAATATTAACATCAAAACAAATAGATGATATGATTAAATATATTGTACGTGAAGATGCTATTAGACAATTGTTAAAATTAATATTTGATCGAACACGTAACAGTGATAGTAATATCGATGATGAACATCGACAATTTAAATTAAGTCTTCCAATGAAATTAAATGATTTGTACCAAACAATTAAAAAATTAAATGCTTTTAGTAAGTTCAATAGAATAAATGTAGTGAAAAGAAAAATTCTATTGATGTTATTTAAATAATTTCATCTATATTTTTTATGTAAACAATTATGCTTCTATTTTTTCCCCTGTAATCTTGATAAATTGTGGAGTTAGTGAGATGAGTTCAATTTATTTGATCATTTATAAATGGCATTCTTATGAAACACGATGTAAAGGAGTATTGAAGCACATAAGTTAAAAATAATGAAAAAACGTGATATCTCCAAGATGGATGTGAGTATACGTGAAGAGAACACTAGAAACCACATCCATACCCATATGCTAAAAATAATATCGTGCAGGAAGTTGAAAATTTTCGATGTTTTTCCTTTCGACCTTTCTACAATACACCAACATTACCATGAAAATGTTACAGATAGAACTGGCAGACCGTCTATCGATAATGTCTCGTGATCTACTGCATTATTGCATTTCTTAACGATTAAGACATAGCATGGTGAAGAAATGTGTCTGAAAATAGATTGAGTAAAGCAATCTCTGTATGATTAGCAATAGCAGCTGTATCGTATTTCACATTTCAATTCAACAATTATTGTATTAACAGTACTAATTAGTATGTTCCTATTTAAAATAGTGTCGACTACTCAAGTAATGGTAGCTCTTCGAAAACCGTACTTATTACAACTTACGAAAAGATCCAAAATAAAACCAATTACAGTAAATGATTTACGTGCTATAATGTCTCAAATATGGTTATTGCCGGAAAATTTTGATGTACTAATTTCTGAGAATACAATTACATCGGAAATATTAGATGACTTCTATATTGATTTTCATGCAAGAGAAGATATTGATGAACGATTATATAAAGTAAATAACAAAAAAAATTATTTAACATGTTTTTTTTTTCTATTTAAATAAAATTTTAAAAAAAGATTTGTAAAAAAATCCAAGATCATTTAAATTTACATAGTTGTATAACACGTGTTGTACTTAAAATGATTGCTGAACATTTCAATGGTACAAAACTTACACCATTTCTTAATGAATTTAATAAAGTGCCACGTTTTATATCAATTATTGATATATTTGACGATTTAATAACATCAGGTCTTATATCAACAACGGAACTTCTTGTCTTTTCTAAACAAGATATTATTATTAAAAAATCATCTTTATTAAAACATTTTGAATCTATATCGTTTTTTCATAAACGTGATGCTGATTTACTTGCTGAAATTACTTTAGTGATGCGTGAAGATGATTTAATTGAATATTTAACACAACGTGCTATGACAATCAAAGAAATTTATATTAATTCTATACTGAATAATGATCAACGTCGAAATTTTATTACAAAAAATCTTATTGAATCTACAAAAAGATTATCATCATTATCTATTCATGGTAATTGTTTTTAATCCTAACAAGAAAAAAAAGAAAATACATTTATCTATTTTCAGAATTTATTCGTCATTTTAATCTTGATCCAAATTGTGTTAAAATATTCTATTGGATGGGTTTAACAGATGAAAATATCGTTAAAACTTTAATTGAAATAAAAACTTTTGTTAATGAATATACACTTGATGGAATTTACAATAATTTTCTAACGAGACTTCATGATACATTAGGTTAGAAAACAAATATTTAAAAAAAGATGCTCAAGAAATTCTAAGAAAGTTGTAGCAAAGAATAAATTCCAAATATTAAACAGAATGGAGATACAACTGAACTATTTTCTGTTTAATGTTTTTTTTTTTCAAATCGGCATAGGAAAGTGGAACGACTTTTCTACAGCACAACGAGTGATGTTGAGCTGGAGAATTCGCGAAAGCTATAAAATTAGAAGCATCTAATTTACGATTATCCTTAGTCAACCATGACAAACAAAAAGGTCTCAAGAAATTTGTCTTCTATGAGACTTTGTAGAAGTCTTCTCTCATCATTTTGATAAAAATACTGAAAAATCATCGTTATAACAGATAGAACTATCTCAGGTTTTACAATATTTTGATCTTAACATTCACATTTATTTATGGAATATCAAAAATGATTATTAAAGAGAGCTCAATAAACTGTCATAAGGAAAAATTTCTTAAGACCTATTTGCTATTCATGATTCACTGCCTATAAACTTGAATTATATGCCTGAAATTTTACAACTGTCTCTAATGAATTCAATATTATTAGCATTTTTACTTTTCCAAGATTAACAATAAATTGTAATACATTGTGAGAATATATCGTGTCCTAGAATAACTAACATATAGTTTACCAAAAAAAAACAAACAATTTTTTCGTTTCATAGAATCTGGTGTCTATTATATATCTACTGAAAATTTAATAAATTATGATCAACAAAAAGAATATTTAACAATTAAACAACGAAATAATCATCATAGTATTCATCAAATGATTAGTGAAAATTTTTGTAAACTTGGTTGTTTTTTAACTTATAAACAAGCTTATATTCTTGTTGATTATGCTGATCCAGAATATGAACATGAACTTTCGTCTTTAACTACAACACATGATATTATTTCACAAGAACGTTTAAAAATTTTATTGAAATCTACAAATAATGAAATTAATTTTGATGAACTTTCTAAAATTATTCTTCCAAAACAACAAGTGTAAGTTAATACCGATAAAAACAAAAATTTCTTAATTATTAAATCAAATATTAATTTAGAATTGAATGCAAAACTCTTCTTGATTCATTTCATCAACGTATTAATTATCGACAGAATCGTTTTAAACGCGTTGAAAATTTACAAAAACTTCTTCTTTCATCAATATTAATCGAAAAATTTCTAGAAATGATTTCTGACTTAGGTGTTGAATATTTTACTCATATTGAACTTGATTGTCTTGAAGAAATAAAACTAATTGATATTGGTGTACTTGCAGTTTTACTTACATTACCATCATATAATCCATTAATTCATCAACATAAATATGAATGGTTTCGTAATAAAGATAGTCTTATTGAAAATGATGAACAAATTTCTAACAGTTAGTTGTGATATATATTCCAAAGTATTTTAAGGAGAGGGTGCTCTCCACCCACCTACAACACGCTCTCAAATTTGGTCACATTGAGGAGAGTACCTTCAAGTGTCTGAATAATATTACAATAGCTTTTGAATTGGATAAAATCTAACAGGAGTTATGAGATGTGCAAAAATCGGTAACTAATTTTACATCTATGGGGGGAAAATATTTTTTCTTTGAGAAGAAATATCGCTATTCTGAAGTTAGAGGCTCCAAGATGTGTCTGAGGGTGAACTTCAGGATATAATCGAAAAATTACGATACTGATGAAATTTTTCGTATTTCTTTAACACAGCGTTCAGCTCTCTTGTAATTTAGAGATGATATACCTAATGGATAGACACTTGTACATAGAAAGTTTTATTGAAAATTAATGATGCTAAAGCTTATAATTGAACGTTTTACAAAACATCTATTTTTCATACTATGCTGAACTCTACTTCCTCAGACAAATCTTGGAGGAGCCTTCAATTTCAAGAAAATGACATTTGATCTTAAAGAAAAAATATGTCACACCATAGAGGCAAACTTAGTGACCGAATTTTGTAAACTTCATAATTCTTGTTAGATCTTACCCAACTCAAAAGACATTGTAATATTAAAATACTTGCAGGTATTCTCTACAAACAGATCAAATCTGAAAGCATACTACAAGTGGAGGATCTTCCCTGACATAACAAAAACAAAAAATGTCTTTTTTTTATTAGTACCACCAAATTATTTACATATTCTTGATCCAATTATTGAAAAATATTCTATATTTTTAACAACAATTATTATACGAATTATTTCAAATAAAGAACGTTTTGAGAAGGTCAATGAAATTTTATTATCGAATTCGGATTATTATTTATCAACAGAAGAAGTTCTTAAAATCTGTGCTTATGAACAAATATTAACATATGATAATATTCAATATATTTGCCAAGAAATATTTCCTACTAAACAAATCTCAGATATAAATGATCAATCGCATCATTCACAAAAATTATCAATTGATATGAGTGCAGAAAATATACAAGAGCAATCTAACGAGAAGTCTTTAACTTTGAATATCAATCAACATGATAATGATCGTAAAAGTGAAGGAATAAATAATAGCAGCGGTAAATTACAGAAGAAAATCGATTTTATAAAAATTAAGAATTCACAATCTGAAAGGTCGTGGTAAACCTCAAATTATAATCAGTGTTTGCTAAATATCTGATTACTGATTTTTGACGAAAAGATTCTATAACAAGCATCAGAAAAACGAGGATCAGAGATTAACAATGAGAAATGTTATCTAAGTGATATGAGTCTTTTCACGTTTACAGTAACAGCAATTATTCGTTCAATCGCAGTGTCGTAGTCTTCCCATCGTCCTCAGCGTTATCTCCGCTAGAGTCAATTGAATTCAGAATTTCTGAACCTGGATCCAGATCCGGAACCAACCTAACGGGCTCTAATCTCTATCCTCGATATAGTAAATTTTGTGATTTCTTAACTGTTTGCCGAATAATAGCATGCAAGAGCAACGATAATTATATTTGTATTAAAGTAAATTTCTAGGAGTTTTTCCAATTAATAGAAATATTGAAGAATTGAAATTTTCAATAATTTTGATATTTAGATTTAAAAATTAGTATCGATTTGAGATTTTCTATTTGTTTTAGTAACAAGATTAGACTCACATGAAACTAGTATTACACTTCAATCAATATTTGATTGTTATACTCGAAATATGTCTATGTATACTCATGATTCTGTTCTTCGACATAAAATGGAACAAACAGTCATAATAACTATATTTGATTATATTCTTCATTTTAATCATCGAACTATGATCAATGAACAATTAAGACAATTATTCAATGGATTTAAACCTTTGGCTTTTTATAAAGCTCAATTATTAATTGAAAAAGAAATTATAGTTATTAAATTATTATTAAACATACGTAAACAACAAGCACCATTAACAATTCATGATCTGAATAGATATCTTGAATCATATCAAATACCATGTCGATTGTGAGTTGGTTTTCTTTTTCCTTTGTAAAACACGATCTAAAAGGAGTATTGAAGTGTACGGTGACGGACATCAGTTTAGAACAGTTGTTAGGCTCGAAGACGCTAGCAAAAATCTTTGGATGACAGTCTACGAAAACGATGAAGGAAGACAATCGAGACCGTATATCAATAGCATCTTGTTATTAAAATATGAAGGAAATTATTCTATTTAGAGATATAGTCAATGAATTATGTCGTATAAAAATCATTTCACAATCGCTCGCTAATGATTACACAATGAATCAATGTTATGAATTAAAAGTAACTACACCTGAAGGTCAAGCTATTTTTCTTTTTTATATGATGATTAAATTAATTCAAAAAGAAGGTTATATTGATGAAATAAATGTCAGAGAAATACTTAATCAATATCAAACAAAAAATGAAAATGAAAAATTTAATATCATTTATAAATATATTCTACGTAATGGTTTTCTTACCATTGAACAACTAATTCAATCAGCAAAAGATTTTTTTCTACAAGATGTAAATAATTAATTATTTATTAAATAAATAGAACAAAGAAAAATATCATTTATTTTAATTTAGTATCTTAATGAAGATATACTTAAAAATCAATCAAGTGAATATAAAACTGTTATTCAAGAACAATTCTTAACCAATATACTTCATCGTAAACAATTAACTAATACACAATTTGAATTAGCACTTAGTCAAAATATGCGTCGACGTCAAGTTATTCAAACAAATATATTAAGTGATCAAATAAAAAATACTAAAATAGCAAAAGAAAAAGTTCAACGAAAAGTTGATCATGTTCTTTTAAAAAAGGATGATAATACACAATCATATTCTAAATCAACACCAATATCATCTCATTTAACTTATAATAGTCTTGTTAAACAACATAAATCTATTTTGGAAAAGGATCAACAATTATTAACAATAAATACAAATATAAATAATGACTTAGCACCAAATTTACGTTCATTACGTCATAATTATATACAAGCTAAAATACCTCGAAATCAATTACATTTATTAGTTGAACAAGGTGGTTGGAATCATGATACATATCTTGAATTTAAACGTGAACTTAATATTATTGATTCTGATAATTCATTAGATCTTATACGACATATAACATATAATATATCCTTATTAATTAAAGAAAATGGTTCTGTTACTGAAAAACCATTAATGAAACATTTTCAACAACATTCAATTTTATTTCATGCAGATTTTCAATTATTACTTATTCGTTATGGTATTGTAGCATTAGAAGATCTTATAGATTTATTAATTGTTAGCAAATTAGCTAAAGTTGATGAAATTAAATCTTATGCTAAAACAATATTCTGTCTTAATGTAAATATATATATATATGCTCATTTGCTTTATTTATTTTTCACTATTTAATAATTGAGTGTGCGTCATATTATTCAGATATCCTTATGAGATAGTTAACTGTTACAAGTCTCTTTTGAATAGAATATAACAGATTTCGTTTATCTTGTAAATGATAAAAAACAATATGGAGAGTAACTGAAGTAAGTATCACGAAAGAACATTCTTAACTGTTAAATTGCTTCTTGTGTTTGAGACTATTGCCATTCGATCAATCTTAATCAGTAATGAAAAAGTATATTTCAGTTTGGCTTTCCGATCTTTGCTTGTCAAGTTCGGGGTATTTTACTCGATTTTTGCCCTATGAGAAAAGAATCATAGATAGCATGAATAAGCAAATTTCGAGCTAAACATTTTGCCATAGGGAAACCTTAGAACCACTAGAGACTCCTCAAAATTTTAACCAAAACAAACGCATTCTGACCAAGATATTCTCGTTGTAAAGAAGATGTTCTTTCTTGCTCAAACTTTGGAAAATTCCTAATAACAATAAGACTTATCTATGGATGAAATTCGATCATCTCAGTTCCCCGTGATCCTATAATAGGGCAAACATCGAGTAAAATATTCATAAACTGACAACCGAATATTGGAACACCAAACCAAAACAGACCTCTTCGTTATCCATTAATATTGATCTATTGAGCATTTTCTCCTGGACTCTATATCAGATCGTTTAACCAAAGGCTGGACACAAGTACTTTTTTCTAGTTAACCCTATGCGTTGTTGGTTCTATTGTCGATGTGGAACCATAAGATCTATTTCATGAATTGCATCGGCGTCTACAAAACCGTACAATCGAAGATTTGATTTAGTTCTACTTACGAGTCTAAAAAAAAAAGTCTATATATATATATATAATTGTTCCATTTTGTAGCTGCAAATGAGAAGTGTTGAATGAGCCTTATGGTTGTATATTTACAGGAGAACGAAAAAGTATTGAGCCTATCAGAAGAAAGTATTTGCATTCGTTCTCTATAAATCGTTTAACCATTGATTAGCGTTTATAGTTGGAATTTATACACCCACACCCCTCCGTCTGTTCTGTAAACTTCGATTAACTAATCGATAAATTGTTTCCTGAATAACTGCTCATTTAGGTAAACAAATTTATGGAAATTTCTAAATCACAAGAAAACGCTTTAGTAAAAAAACATCATGTACAAAATAATTTAGAGAAAAAAATATGTATAACAGCAACTGATCTTTCTCAATTACTTAATCATGTTCTTAAACTTGATCGTCTCAAACGAATCATTGATATGATGGCAACAATTAAAAATTATATACATTTACATCCAATAAATACATTCAATGCATTGAAAGCATTGAAACTTGAATGTAAATATGATTTCATTTGTTTAATAATAAAAAAAAACTTTGATTTATAGTCGATTTTAATAATTATGATATGAAATTTTTGCGTGATTTAAAACTTCTAAGCGATACATGGTATAAAAGATACTTATTATCACAAAAAAATGAAACAGACTCAAGAGTTTCAGAAATAATTGATGAAGAACAAGAACAAGAAGATCAAAATCAACATAAATTTCATTCGTCAATAGATGAAGATTTTGATTTAGATGCATTTAATGAATTATTTGAAACTAAAGAGTTACAATTAGATATTAGTGAACAACAAAAACAAGCTTATTTGTAAAAAAAAATGAATCATTTTCTCTTTTTGATTTTATTCGTTTTGTTTCTTTTTTGGTCTAAATATTTTAGTGAAAAACTTAAAAAACAAAAAACTCAACTCGATTCATCAAAATTGAAAATATCTACTGATGAAGATTCTCTTCAATTATCAATTAATCTAGATGATTTTCATAAACAAGAAGAAATGAAAAAAGATCAAACACGTGTTATTGAACAATTCTTTCCAGATGCTTCAATACTTGGACCTCAACTTCTTCTACCTTATATCTCTGATGATCAAAAACGATTATTTATTGAATTAGATTTTGCTGAAGAACAAAATATTGAAGATTATTACAAACAAAATGAACGAGAAGATGTTACACAACAAATGAATAAATATTCTGATATAACAGAAAAAGAATCTACTAAATCACATATTAAAATTGAGGAAGATCTAGAGAAAATACCTAAATCAATAGAAGAACAACAACAATCGATATTAAAATTATCTTCAGATGAAAGATTTTCATCTAACGAAATAGACAAACTTTCTATCGATAGTCAATCAATAAAAACTTTTGAACGAAATGAAGAAATACAGCAAACAGTTGAACAATCATCTATTGAAAAACGTTTATCACAAATTAAAACATCGGATTTAATACCAACAGAAGAAGATAAAACAAAACTAATAGGTGATTGAAAAGTTTCGATCACTCTCGGTAAATCGATGGTATCTATTACAAACCAATATATAGTAATTAATTGAAATATATGATTTTGTAGAAAAAGATTAGAGCCACCATTTGAAAAAATGATACTTCCAAAGGCATCAATGTAGTACAATGTTATAGTCAGTTTTACTAACCTTGAGTGAATATTTTCATTTTACATTTTTTGCGAAAAAAACATTTTTCAATAAAACTAAGGCAACCTTAAAATGATTCAGCCTTACGGTATATTAATAACGAGTTATGAGTGTTTAAATGAATTTTTTACTGTGCGCACAACATGTCCGAAAAAATGTAAAACAAAGAATCGAGATATTCGATTTCCAAAGAGACTCGACTAAGTTGTCATTCTATGGTAAATCGCTGCTTTTTAGCTATTGAATATTTCGAGAAATACATGTTCGTTTTCGTTCATAGCAAATAAAACTTTTTCACTGGAGTATTGAACTGAATAAACTAAAATATCTATCAGACCTTGATTGCTTTCTGACAAACAATGCGACTAACTCTCACCTCTGAAAGAGCTAAGTGCTACTCGGCATTAATGTATCTAGCGTTGCAACATTGCCAAACTTCCTAATGTTTTGTAAGACATTAATTGAAAAAAAATGAGCTACTGAATTTTCGTCCGTACATATTCATCCTTTGTGCTGTTGTTCAACATAAGTATGTAGATTTGCCTAAGAATTTTTGATAGTGATTATCACCAAAGGCTGTCAAATTTTTACTTTCTTCTTGACAAAAAGACCATTTATTCAATCTGTCGTTATATTGTCAGAGGCTATCTTTCAAAAACCAAACATATGTTGAGTTCAGTCTTCCCTAGTTTAAGAACTACGCCGCCTCAGAATATGACGACTATCATTTAAATAAAAAGATATGTTCTATAAAAACTCATTGCAAGAAAAAACTTGCAAGTCTTATTTTAAAAAATGTAAGATGGAAATATTTACTCAAGATTAGTAATATGACCATAACATTTTACTATATTTAGGCATTTCGTAGTATCTTCTTTTTTTCAGATGATAGCTCGAATCATTTCTCTATAATATGATATATTTCAATCAATTAATTATATATAAGTTTGCCATGGATAATACCAATTTACTGAGAGATGGTTTCGAAACTTTTCAATCACTTTTTAGAATCATCAACAATTCAAATATTAACTTCAGAAAAATCAATTGAATCTTTTCCATTTATTGACAAAAGAGTTTCATCATTAACAGATGAAAGTTTACAGCGAAAACCGATATCACTTGTACTACCTAATATTATTGAAGATCTTTATACTTTTCTCCGCGAATCGTAAAGTTCTCTTTTTTTTTGTCTATATTTTAAATATCAAATCACTTTTTATTTCTCTTTAAAAATAGACTTCAACAAATGACAGATATCGAACAAATTTCATTACAGAGAAATCTTCAACTTAGTAAATTATTATTTTTTCTCTCAAAAACAAAAACAAAATTTTTTTTCTTTTAAGTACGTCTCAATGTTAATCAGTGGTTTCAACAAACTCTACAATATAACGAACGAATATCAAACATTATTCAACAAATAAGTCCTATGGATAATAATTCTGAATATTTTACTCAACATGAATCATTGACTAATCAATTGATCGCTTATTTTTATAATGAATTTGATTTATTTCATGAAAATTTTGCATTTCTTAGTCATTTAAACAATTCAAAATTACACAATTTTTTTCAACAACGAATTAATCAAATAGAAAATATATTAAACGAACAAAAAAATCATCAAGAACTAATCAAATATATACATAAACAAATCATTGACATTGAACAAATACCTAATGAAATAAATATAGATTCGGAAAAACAAGACATTTTTCATAATTTAAATAATCAATTCCATAAATACAAAAATGATTTTCATCAACTTGAAAAACATGAATATTTTGAAATTCAACCTATAATAAGAACACGTCTTGAATTAGCTATTCGAACACTTGATATAGATTTACAACTAATAACACAAATTATTAATGGTAAAACATTGACTGATATTATACCTAATAAATCATCAATTATAATAAAAACATCTTTGCAATCTATTCAACCGATTGAATTACAAATTCATAAAGATATAACATTAATTCGAGATAAGTTATCAACAATAGCAATAAATATGAAAAATTGTCAAACAATAATTCATGAAAAGAAAATATCACAAGATTTACTAAGGATAGATATTGTAAGTTGCTCAAATTGGATTGTTTAGTACTTAATCGAATACTTTTAGAATGATCGTTTTCAAGCTATTAAAAATGAATATTTAGAACAGAAAATAAACGAAGAAAAACTACAATCGATAAAAATAAATATAGATAAAGTTGTTGAATTTGATCAACAACAAATAGAATTTATTGATCAATTGGAAGATATTCATAATATATTAAATAAAGAATCTAATAAAATTCAAAATAATTTATTAAACATCACAACTGCCCGTTATCATTCTAATCATCCAAATTTTCCTTTGAATGCTAAATTAAAATATCTTCCTATCGATAATTTAGGAAATTTAATAGAACAACCTTTATGTCTTGTTGATGAACAAAATATGTCTATTTCAGACGAACTTAATCTTATTCGATTACCATGTGAATCAGATCGTTTTCATATTTCAAATGATAAACATGAATTAACTATCGTTGATAAAAATGATATACCATTATCTGAACCGATCACTTTTAAACAATTGACTTCAGAAGCGATTGAATTTGAATATATTGATGATAGTCAACAAACGGTTCAGATTATTGAAATGGCATCACAGCATCCAATAAATAAATCTATTATGCTTAATGTGAAACCTATTTCCTTTGATAAATTACCAGAAGTTAAACAACCAGCAAGTAAGTTGAAAAAGAAAATTCGATGGAAAATAATGGTTATTCAAATTCAGAAATAAGGGATGAACCATAAAAAATAGAACACTATTTTTTCTTGAAGATCTGAAGCATAGATGAAATATACAACGAGACAACGTTAAATTTTTGCACAGATTAAAGCTTATAAATACTCCTGAAAACTTTATCTTTTGGACTCAAAATATTTTAAAAAATCTTCTGTCAAGTTTCGGAAAAAAATTCAGCGTTTCCTGCCGAATTACTCCAGTTTCTTTTCGTTATTCTGGACGTTTGGCCATTCAGATCGTCTTCGTTTACTTTATAAATATTTGCACGACATGTTTGGAAAATCTTAAGTAATTGGTACATTTCTTCAAAGCAACTCGTTCTTTGCTCACTAAAAACGTTAACAAGTCAACTGATAATATTGAAACGATTGATTTTAGGGTTTTCGCAGTCACCATTTGTGAGACTTATATCGCCATTTTTTTGAAAAAAAGTCTCATATAAGTATTTATATACTAAGAGAAGGACACCTGAATGAGAAAAAGTTTAGAATAACGAAAAAAAAGTTTTTTTTATATTTTTTATCCGAAATTTATAATTTTCAGCAGTATTTATGAAACTTAACTTTATGAACACCAACTTGCACGACTCCTCTATTACCAAAAACAAGCCACTTGGTTTATTGTAATCGCAGTGGCGACGTACACATCACCTCTAAGGAGTGCAAATTTTCCCAAATCAAATTATGCCTGCAGAAAATGTAAAATTATTTAAGATCTGCACAGAATTAACTAAATTTTTTGTCAAAAGGGTCATTTTTTTCTATGATATTTACTGTACAAACTGATGTCTTCTGGAGGTTCAAACAGCATCCTATAGAAGTATACAGAGTCAAAGTTGAATTCAATTCCGTTTTTTGAATTCTGTCTTTCTTTCATGTTCATAGACTTTGATAAGACGTCATTGAAACCTTCACAATGTATGAGATCATACAGTAACTATCAGAGAATAAAACCTAAGATCTAGTAAAAGTTCTTATATTAAAACTGAATTTTTGGCAAAAAATTTGTTGAATTTTCGTCGAAAAGAAAAATGGAGTCTTTCAACTATCTATCGAGTCTTCAGGAAAAAGACAAAAAAAAGTGTTTTATTCTTTATGCACCA